CGTTATCTTACCGTAGAGTACGGGGTAATCTGTTGCTGTTCTGCATCACAATATAGTGTTCAACTTAGAAAAGGGTAAGAAGTATGTTCGATGCGCTTTTCTGGACTATACTTCAGCTTTTGATTCTATACCAAGACAACGTTTAATTAACAAGTTAATCAGCGTCAACACTGGCAGCTGGATAACCAACTGGCTATGTTCCTACCTCTCTGGAAGGGAACAGTACAATGTTTTTGGTGGAAAGTGTTCAGTCTCTACTGTCTCATGAAGGTGTACCACAAGGAGCTGTTCTCTTACCTCTTCTTTTCTGCATGATCTGCCATCTTCCACAGAAAATACTTTTGTGAAATATGCGAATGATCTCACTGTATGTATGCCTATCTCTTCCTCTTTACATCCCATAGAAATAAATGAGTTTTTGTCTCATATTGATTGTTGTTCTGTTGGTAATGGTCTCATACTTAATCCGTTTAAATGACAAGCTGTTAACTTTAGCATGAGACATGAACGCCATCTAAACATCACCTTGGGATCCCATGATGCTTGTGCCATCGGAGACTCTTTGATAAACACAGTGTCGGAGGTCAATTATCTTGATGTCACCTTTTCCTCTGATCTGTCTTGGTCTTCCCACGTTTTATTGTTATCGAAGGTTTTTCCGTCTGACCTACTAAATAAAGAGGTTGCATGCTCTTGAGATTACTCGTCATTTACTCTTACAATTTGTCAATCCTTGCATATTACCTATTATTCTTTACTGTTCTCCATTATTCTTTCCCGGGCTTTTGAGAAAAGACTTTGCTGTATTGCAGAGTGCTGAAGGCAGTTAGCAGGATGTGTGGTGAATCTTTCGAGGTCATAACTAATATGATTGTGGATAGACATCCAAGGTCATGCAAACTCCTGGCAGGTGTTATTTTATCAGATACTAACCATCCCCTTCATTCTTATCTTTCTCCTTGTATATCTTCTGGTAGAACGAGACGTAATTACATTGAAATCCATGCACGCAAGCAAAAGTATAAATGTTCTATGATACCTTACCTAGCAAATATACTCTGTGACGAACAGGTTGTTAGAGTTAACCTAGTCAATAACTTGCATTCTTAACATGTCTCTGATTTGAAAAGTTGTGCAGTTTTTCAGGTTTTTTAAAACATATTGTTTGTCTTCGTTTCTGTTTTTTGTGTGTAAGAAACTTGTTGAAATACCCTGTGCTGAGAATTTCTATATTGTACTAAAATGTAATATTGAATAAAGCCATTAATAATAAAAAATTTAAAAAAAATACTTTTTAAACTTTTCTGTATGATTTTTAGCATACAAAATAGGTTTAGTTAAAGAGCTAATTTCAATGTAATTTTAATATCGTAATTCAAATAGCTTTAAACAAATGCATCTCTCGTATAACCATATCAAATTTAACCTAGTGATTACCGATAATATATATTATTATAGTGAAATTTATAGAACGAAAGAAATTTGTTGTCATCGATACAAAAAAATTCCGACTAATCGGCAAGGAAAGCTCTTACTCCAGCGATAGCCATTCTTAACGGTATATAATTGTGCTTAATTATTTAATATATGTAGAACATTATTCGGAAACAAAAAAATAATTCTTATAAAGTGCTAGGAAATTTCAAGTATCAGAATAAATTTACATGTTTGTTCAACGTTTTTTTGTAAAATGAATTGTAAGAAACATAATTGAGACGTATGCAAGATAAGTGTCAACTTGACGAACATAAAAATAATGGAGTAATCATGACATTGATAAAAAAAGTTTGAAGGTGCTAATAACAATTGCTCAACAGATGGGAAGCATCACCAAATGCTAGTAAAAGGTAATTTTTAAATGTCGAATATTAGGGGAATTAAATGATAGATTAAGCATAGTTCAGGCTTAAATAGGGGGATTGCTAGTCCTTGAGGTGCATAGGTTTTCTATTCATACTTCATAGTAGTTCATCTATATTATCATGACTAGTTTTGAAGAGGAAGTACAATGATGCGCCTCAAAATTGAGCTGTGGATTGACTTATATTTTGACAGCCAAACAAAGTAGTGCTTGAAGATGAGTTCACTGCATGGGATCAAAAGAATGCAAATAAAGAGTTTCTTCTTCTCAACATAACCTCATATTGTTTTTTTTCAGTCGGCCTACGTTTAAAAGATAAGTAAAATATAACGTTTCTTTCTAATATTTTTCTTTTGGATCTTTGCTATAGTATCCCCTATATTTACGAAAGAGTATTCTTTAATCAACCATATGAACGCGTAAATTAACTTGCTAACAGAATTCATGTTGTTCAAACAATCATATAATAATATAAAGAAGTCGGTTTTATATGATAGTTGTCTCACATTCCAATTCATTAATTATAAAGAGGAAAATTACACAGTCTATGATCAAATATGCATTATTGACATTTCATCGTAATCATGAATTAAATATCCATTCTTTTCTTTTCTCTATTTCTAAATAAACAATCATTTAACAAGAAGCATTAATATATTTACTTTTTTTTTCTTTAAAAATATAAATTACACTTATCTGATTTTAATAATTCCAAATATTATCAATTAATAGTCACAATTGATTGATCACTGGGTGGTGATCAATGTCATGCTTGTCTAGTCCTTATTAGTGCAGATCGAATGCTATCGATCATGTTGCAATGTGGTCACCAGTCTAGGTGACTCGACACTGCGGGCACTATGTATTGATATTTAGATGGTAGTTGGAGGTAGTCAACAGGAAACCCTGGACTCGGGTTTCGTGCTACTTGGCACTCATCAGCAAGGTGTACCTGTAATCTTGAGGGAACTGGTGCTCCCTGGCGGATTCGATCTCGTGTCACTCAGCTTCACAGACAGAGACGTTACCACTGAGCTATCCGAGCCGTGACTAACCTCCTGTAGGATCGAGATGTAATCACAATTGATTGATCACTGGGTGGTGATCAATGTCATGCTTGTCTAGTCCTTATTAGTGCAGATCGAATGCTATCGATCATGCTGCAATGTGGCCACCAGCCACCACCAAGCTGAGTGACACGAGATCGAATCCGCCAGGGAGCACCAGTTCCCTCAAGATTACAGGTACACCTTGCTGATGAGTGCCAAGTAGCACGAAACCCGGGTCCAGGGTTTCCTGTTGACTACCTCCAACTACCATCTAAATTATCAATTAATAATTGATTATTTGAACCATTGGATTATTTATCTATTTATTAAGTCTAATAGAATAGCATAAAAAAGAAATTATTAGTTTACTGTATTTTTGAAAAAAAAGGAACAAAAATTAGGAAAATAAAAATAACGATACTTTTCTTTTCAGTTATCAACAACAAATGAATAATCCCCAACAGTTTTATTTATGTTAATCAATGATTGTAGTTTGTGGCTTTGTAAACATGAGTCAATCTACCATGATTGTAATTGTCAGGGTTACAATAGAATTGAAAATTTACTAACACAAAAATAAGCTAACATGTGTGTGTTAATTATTTTAATGCATCTATTGAGTAACAGGTAGTATTGAAACACACTATAAGCAAATAAATACATAAAATTTCTTAAAAGACTAAGGGACATTATATTAAATCATACTGTTTGACATGATGAATAGAATAAATAAGGATATAAATTGCATAGATAACAATCAATACTAAACTATAATAATAATATAATAGTTTTAATTTTAGTTGAGTACGAATAGTTCTAAATGTACAAAAACCGAGTGCATGAGAACATATGTAAACATATATGCACAATATGTATTCGTGAGGAGTTCAGTCATTGTGGTTACCAATCAATATATAAATAACGATAACAAAATATGAAAAGATGGCAAGTGTTCGAATCAGTAACGAAGTAAAGTTTTAAATAAATGACATTGAGTTATACTATTGTACATGAGATTTGCCCAAACCAAAGTACATAAAGAAAACGGTTTCAAACATATCATCTAAGGTAATTATTATCAACTCCAATATTTCGAACAAATTCACCATTATTTATATCACATGGATACAGAGAAACATTGACTAAATGATAGAGAACGCCAATAATGAATTGATGAATGTTATCGTTTCATTTAGTTCGACAAATAAAAGAATCACAGTAAATTGATGTATTATACACAATGAGTAGAATATCAACATTTATACTACTGTTGTTATAATGAAAAATACAAGATATTTAGAATGAAAGATAACTTACAAAATAGAAATCAGTAAGTGAAAAGACAAAATATCAAGGGAATTACGTGGATAGTACTGGTAGATGACAGGGGCAAGAATAATATTCAGAAGAGGAGGAAAATAAATGACAGGAAATAGAACGTAAAAATTTTATTATCAACAACAAAGACTAATAAAAAAATATCGATGAGTAAGATTCATTTCACTATTTATAAGCGGATTGTTTTTTCATTGAGCACTCATTTACTACAAATAATAGTAAATTCATTAGGAAGAAACTCCTCCATGCATTTCTCATAAGCACTATAACTATTTAATATTCTAAGTAAATACTATATCAAAATAGTGTGGGAAGAAAGATAATATAATTGGATTAAAGAATTCTTTCCTCTCTATCGTTGAAATATTATACTTCTTTCTCTACCCATTTGCCCAGCTTTGTCTTCTGTGAGTGAGTTCCACACACGAATTGATGTTATTCAACAGGGAGTAAAAGAATTTACAGATGTTGTATGTCATTAACACCGAATTCAACTAATATTGTTGTAATCCATAAGATATCACAATATGCTTGTGCAAAAACAATAAATGAGCATAATTTTCAGTAGAGTGTATGCAGAAAAATAAATAGGTAACAAAATAAACATGCTTTTATTGGTATATATATATAAGGAATGTTGTATAGTAAAGTAATTTATAAGACGTCAAATTGAATGTTTTCAGGATAATAACCCACATTACATTGTTGTTGAATTAACTATGTGACGATTTACCATTAAAGAACGGTACGGATTAATTCGATGACTGAATTGTAATTACTTTTTTATTAACATCTTTAGAAACTGGTTTTGGATCAGGCATAATGATCTCAGTTGGTTTTATGATTATTTTTGACCTTGGTACTGATGGTATACGACGTACATAGCCATTTATTGGCTAAATAAACAAAATAGGGAGAAAGTTATAGATTAGCTAAAATAAAACATTATGGAATGTGTACATAATATTACAAGTTGACTTATCAAAAATACCCTAAAGAACATAATAAATTGAATGGTATCGAGGCTCCATATTGACAAAACGAAACGCTGTGAAATGTGTTGCCTTCTATTTCAATAACAACGAATCTGTCAATACCAATAAGTACATCATACAAATCACCATTTACTAAAATCGTGAATTACGATATCAGATGGTGGATGGTCACATAAAAGATTTTTATACATCTCAAAAAGTATATGACTAGCACATTTTGTAAGTTAGTGATAGATAGAAGTGCACCTTAGTACAAGTTGTCATATCATATTAACACAAATAAATGAAATTAACATAATGAACAATTTTATTGGTAATAACGATAGCGAGAAAAACAGAGAATTGAGACAATCTCTTTCGAGAAGTGCAAAGGTTTGTATAGGGGGATACTGGAAATTTAGATCTAGAAAGAAATAAAGGGTGAGTGCATCTGTGCCACTGTGACCGACTCTCAGCCATGTCATTCAATATTTGCAACCACTGACCGCGATTATCATGCGAATTACAACCAGGTAGTTTACATCCACCTACAAGGTTCAGACCAACAATCAATGTCTTCATGGATTGATGGTGCGCATTGGTTCGGTCATTTTCAGCATTTTATAACAACATTGCTAAATGCTATAATAATTAATAGATCAAAAGGGATGTTGTAGTTGTGACTATTAAATAGTTGTTTAACAACAATTCTATCCGAACAAACATAGAGTAACAGACTAGAAAGTGAACCCTATTTTAGCACTTATTTTGTTCGAACAAATTGTTGAGTGGTGACAGATTAATATTATGATATTTGTTTAACACAAGTCACATAAACTAAATAAGTATCGGGTAAACGCTTGTATCCTATTTGGTGATAATTAAAAATCAACAAAAAAACACAACGAAATTGGTTAAAATATACTCAACTAGCGAAAACGGGATTATACATGTTTTCTTTTCACATACAGAACAGTTATCTGAGGGCAAAATTTATAAATATGATTAATATTATGTCTTAAAAAAAAATTAATTCGTAAATGTTATTATGGCATGGTAATTTTAGAGTATTTTACACCGTATGAGTATGCCAAGTAATTCATAACTTTATATTCTTTCTGAGTATAATAAGTTCCGTCAATTTGATGATATTTAGTTGTAGTCTGAGAACAATGGTCTGATATTCTATATTAATTTGAGGGAACTAAATACACCAACATGATTGGTTGATTATCACTAAGGTGACAGTTTCTCCGTTCCGATTGGTTTATGATTCATAGTTGAACTAGAATATTTTATATTAGAAAAAAAAACATTTTACCATAGAAAATTGGCAATTACATAAACATACATGTTGGTAATAGCTTTTTCTAGATATTACCATTTTATTTTATATGCTAATTAGGTAGAAGTTTTCTAGGCTGTTGCACAGTCTAGGTATTTCCCTATTGGACAGGTTATTAGGCTGTCAGACAAATCACGGTATACCAGTCAAGATGTTCCTAATTGTAGTTTTCTGGTTGACCGAACCTGTTTAAGGTATTATGCTTTTGTAATGGTTAAATTACTACACAGAATCACATAAATATTTATAAGTATAATATGATGAAACAAATAGAAAGCATACTTACTTGTACTGATTCCAGATATGGTTTCTTCATGGAAACATTAAAACGATAGTAACCATCTACACCGCTATTATCATTTTTATCATATTGCGAGCGGATAATTTGAATTGATTTGGTTACTGGCGACAATGATGCTGATGATGAGGTAAGTACAGTTTGTGAACATTTTGTATCTTGTGATTCAGTTGATAAATTAGGACTGGTTGGAGAATAGATTGATGAATTTATGGGAAAATTAGAGTTAACAACAGTTGGATAATTGGAATGATTAGGTATATTCCATTTGTTGGCTGTTGTTGACAATGCAGGAGGCACTAATGTTTCGTCTAATCTGGTTATTACACCATCAACGGAAGAATTTATACCAGTGCTAGAATAATCACCTTTGTTAACTGTTTTTTGCTCAATTTTTAACGGAGACTTTTCACGTTTCTGCCATGGTTGTTCAAGACTTATCTCAGAACTAGTAGTTGATGAGCGACGATTCACATTGACTGATAAAATTTGTTCACTTGTCCACCGATTTATTCGTGATGACGGTGTCATTGATGAAGTTGTTAAAATGATGGGGATATCCGGTTTTTGTGTTATACCGCTACTATACCCTATAAAGTTTAAAAAGTAAGCAAATACAGAACAATTCAAAATTATGAAGTAGTCTTACGCTAAAATCAATAAAAGTTCGGTGTACTCGACTTTCAATCATATTTGTGTGTGTGAAGTATTTATGTCACGTAGCAGCCATCTAAACTGAAGTATATGTATATAGCTTGAATTGTTATCCATTAATTAATAGTCAAAGTTTTAAAAATTGAGCCATCGTCTTACTTTAGAATGAAACTTGGTTCGCCTAGGTACGTTTATTTATCGAATAATAAGTAAGAATTGATGTGGATTTCTATTCAGGGTATCCGTGTTATTCAGTTATTTCAATAGAAATATATGGATCAATAATAAATTTCTATAATCATGAAATACCTGATCGAATAGCAAACTATTAAATAGTTTTGGTAATGAACTAGTTAGATTACTTAGTTCTGATAAAATCGACGAATATATTTATGTGCTAGTGAACTTATGTCGAAATGGTTAAGTATTCAATGGCTTTCAGACACCTCATCTTTATTTTGAGTAGAACTCAGTTGTCAGCTAGTTCATTTAGTTTTTGAATTTTGCCCACATAGGATGAAGGAGAGGGTGATTTCGAACGGTAATTTAATTTTCATAAGTAATCTTCGTTCAGCTAAAATTCCCATTAAGGCTCTCGAATAAACAGTTGTGTATTCTTATTACTGACAATTCAGCTACAGTTATTACGGATTGTACATAATTGTGGAATATTACTTAAGAAAAAAATCTTACCAACATTTGTTCGGTTAATAATAATTTCTTTATTCTGTGTAAATCTTGATAAAGGTCGTTGTGAGGATTTTTGTATTGCAGGATTTGACTCAACAGATAAACTATCATTATTTTTATCGTAATCCAATTCATAACGATGTAGTACTTTAGAACGATTGGAACTAGGAGATAATCTTGTCGGAATACGATAATGACGACCACCTGTAGTAGCATAACTTTCATCGGGAGAATTGATGAGAGATTGACTTGATATTGACTTATATTCATGTACGTTGATGTAAATATGAAAGTGTAATGAATTACGGAAATCAAGAAAATATACGAAAATTGCAGTCAACATTTAATAAATACTCATTGAATGATTTTTGCATCAACTTAAATTAATAGTTAAACACAACTAATTGATCGCTAATTTGTATCTACTCAATGTCAATGTTGAGTTTGAAGTGCTTGTCAAATTCAATTGACCATGTTGATATGAAATCACTGATTTAAGTGATTAAACGTTATTGAACTAGGTTTGACTTTCCCAGTAAAAGAAACATGCTCCGACAAACCAGCCAAGAATAAAACATAAAATATTCAGGTTTTACAGCGATCATAGTTGCTTATAATACTGAATTTTAACCCGATGTCTCACACTTTTGAACTTCGTTAATTTTAAAGTATAGTACAACTATTGGTCGATTAGATTGATGATGATTGTCTTAGAACAGACATGGTTGAATTCCACCCAGTCACGACTGCGCACTAAACTCTTAAATTAGGATGATCAAACAATTGCTCTTTATTGTCCCATAGTTTCCAATGTTTTGAACCCTCATCCAATTCTATGGAGTAGGCCACCTTCGCACTCTCTGTTAGAATACTCAAAGACAGATCATTTCTTAGTGATTTAGGGTTGCATTAAACAATATTAAAATGAAACCATTGGACTGATAATGATAGTAATAAAAAATAATACTTATCAAACTACACCTCAAAACAATATTTTGACAATTTAGATAGACTAAATGCTTAAAGATATTATTATTGTATACACGTAAACTCAGTCTCCAGATTGACAAATGTAATCGCTCACTAGAAGTATATGAGAAACTGCTTTAAGTTTCATTAAGTTGTAACATCAAAGGTGGTAGTTGAAAGTAGTCAACAAGAAACCCTGGTTTCGTGCTACTTGGTACACACCATGAAGGTGTACCTGTTATCTCGAAGGAACTGATGCTCCTTGGCGAATCAGATCCTGTGTCATTCAGCTTCGCAGTAAGAGACTTTACATAGTGCACGCGATTTCGAGTCATCTAGACTAGTGACCACACTGCAATTTGATTAGTAGAATTCTATCTACTCTAAAAGGACCTGAAATGCATGAAATTTGTCACTATTCAGTGATCGATCAATTGTAAATCTGTAACATCTAATACAAACTAAAAGAAAAGTAGTTTAATGGTCGATGCACCAGATCTATAATTGTCAGGTCTCAGAATCGAATTTTATTTCACGTGCTACAGTGTTATTAGTATCATTAGTCTCCTTATATACGAATATTGTGGTTTATAGGTGAGTAAATGAACTTGCATATATTAAATGAGCTTATTTATGCAAACTGATTGCATTACGGTATGAAACAGGACAGTTGGAAATGAATGATAAAATGCAGAACATTAGTTTATTGAAACTAGAAATATGAGTCAATAGTATGAAAAGTTATATGACCTTGAGTTCGACAGTAATGATATTTTCATAGGTGTGTACTATTAAGCGAATTTCAGAGCAGTAGGATACACATACTGTGCAAACGGCACATGGATTTTGGAAGGATTCGAAATGTTTCACATATGAATACAACTACAGCACACCACACAGATCCAAAACAAGTGCTTATCATGTGCCTAAGAGATCTACTGTCCGATTACATGAGCCATCACGTAGCCTGTCTTGTATTCAGTGAGTCTCAACTGGATATATCTATAGGGTGAAAAACAAAACTTTAAACTGTTATTTCTCTTCAGTACAATACAACCACTAGTGATGTGACTTGAAATATAAACCTATAAATATCTGTTTTTGCTTTCACTCACGAGTACAAACCTCAAAAATGACATAAAAGTTGGTTTAGGCTAGTTGGATCATTCAAAATACTTGAACAATATTGAGTAACAAACACTAGAATCATCTAGAACATTTTTCCTAACAAAGGTTTAATTTATTTTATTTGAACATTGTAAACAACATTGAGAGTATAAAATTACGTAAAACAAAATCCAATAATATTACCGGTGATTGGTGTTGAATACTCAGAACATTATTACTTATAACGCTGCTAGAGATGCTCTCATCAACACTAAAAGAAGGTGAATGAATTACGGACATTGACGATGGAATATGATCCAACTTCATCTTTTGATTACTTATGAATGTGTAATTAGAACCAGTTCCGTATGTTTGCGAAGAACGGACTGCTGGAACATAGAGTCGACCGCTATTTTTCATTGCAGCAACAGTTAATATTGATGCAGATGTAGCAAGACCAGGAGAATAACCTGATGAATTTGAAACTATGGGCGATACACTGGCAGAGCTTAAAGTAATTGGATTGACTGACAGAGTTTTAGGTAAATAGGTCGGAGAAAATCGAGCACGCTAAAATGTGAATACATAGCAAGGAAGATGGCGACCGGTAAAAAAGTGGTTAAACCAAGGAGGAAATGATTATAAGATGGAGAATAAACTGACATACTTAGCAACCTACATGTCAATCAAGCAATTAAATAAACAATCAAAAATTGCGTTCGTTAAAAAATGAACAGTTTAATTTTATTTTACATCAAACACTAAACTATATTATCATTTCACTTGGATTTTAAACATATTTCAAGCTTTTAAAGCAGTTGAGAAAAACTTTTAATTGAATTCCAAAGAATAAATGCATCGATATCTCGGCTACTTTTCAGTTTATTTGAGTAAAATAATTATAACTAAATATGGATAGTGTATTGGAATTAATTGATGGGCGAATGGTTGTATACAAATAGTCAATCACACTATACATTTAATAGAAATCAGAAAACAGGTCACCAGTTGTTACAAAACTGATGGCAATTTGTTATAATGATCTCATTAAATATAAAACAAGGACTCAAGTGACTGAAGAATATAACTGTTAAACATTAGGAGGTAGGTTAAAGTTGTGTTCTATCTTCGTTTTGAATAGCTGAATAGTATTAATTATCTGGTTTAAAAGATGAATATATGCCATTTTACTAGGAGCATGAGCTACATTTTAAATTATTTTAAGCATTCATTGAATTAAGAAATAACTGTATGGTAGACAAGAGAGTACTATTACCATATTTTATCACTAAATAGTTATCCATCGTGAACAACATTTAGATTAGCATTGAATAGTATCAATTATAAGTAATTTAATTCTAAGCATATAATGTAAGCTTTTACACAGATGAAAAAGATTTCGTTTAAGTTGAAAACACTAGATGAAACAGCCATGATGCATACATGTTAGAATGGTATTAAAAAAGGATTTCGATGAATAAAGACTATAATTAAAGTATGAGAAAATATACTGTTACATGAAATAAAAGACGTGAAAGAAGGTCTAAAAACAAAGGAAGAAACGACGTAACTCTCAATAGACACGTGTTAACTTCGTTGATTACCTTAATGTGTTATTTTGAAGATGAAAGATATCTTGAAACATTGGTAGGTAAATCATATTTTTTGAATGTGGTTATCAGTATAATCTAGAACACAGGTTTCATTCTATTTTGAAACTCGTCATCTGAATGTACCTACATCTCCATGTTAGTTGCAGCTTATTCTATAATTATCAACAACTCCCAGTCTATATCTATATGCTCGACTTTGATACACACGTTTCTGTACGACAGCTGGTTTTATTATCGAGCAGCTCCAATCGAAATGCAGCTAGACGAGTTTGGACCATTGATTAACCAGTTAAAAGTTGAGTGCCACTGACTAGAGAATGTAATCAATAAACATGTCATATTATCACTTTTAATGCATTGTTTCTCAGAACACCAACACGTGACTAACACTTTCTTGAGATACTATTGTCGGTTTAGCTCAAAAAGTGTGAATTGTTATAAACTGTCTCGGCGTAAGTTAGAATCATTAGGATTATAGACAGAACTTATTATTTAGGTATTAATATTTCAAGTAGAAACATAATAAGGTTTACAGCTAAGAATTGTTGTTAGTACTGACTAGCAGTCAATAATAATGCTAAAACTTTCATTAAGTTTTTAATAAAACCGACCAATAGAATTGAGAAAAAAGTATCAATGCAACAGTCAATCAGAAACCAAAAGAAAATAATCATTACGAAATAATTTGTGCCATAGATTGAAATCAATCGAAGAACTTACAACTCAGAGGTCTGGTGTCAGTGACTAAGGTGGATATGTGTACATTTGAGTTCCCGCTCAGTACCCTAAAGGTCTTAAGTTTGATTATTGATTTGGTTACGGACTCAAACTGCTGATGGGTCTCAACATGGGACGAAATAGATGTCTGGTGGTCCTTGATGTGCAATGGGTCTACAGCTTAAGTTAGTTTGTGACGAAGAACATCTTTATGATCGACCAACTAAACAATATTTGTTTATGGCTAAGATATTCTTCATAAAACTGAAAATCATGATATTTAGTAAATAACAATTGTCGAATTAGGCTTAAGGGTAAAGTTGAATCTCTAGAGTGATGGATGACAGAGATACTAGCTAATAATATTGAATATTATATATAATGTATGTATTTCAATCAAATAACAATGGATTATATGAAAATAAGGTTGGTTGGTACCATTATGATTCAGACATTTTATGGTTCCATGCCAAACCAGAATCTATTTGAGCATTTTATATTATTCGGCACAAAGTAGGTTGAAAGAAGGCTAGATGAACAACACATAAGACCAATCATAAATATATTCGGCGAGACTCTAATTTATGGACGACCTTTGAACGAGTCTTAAGTGACCTTGAGAAATATCAGCCAATTAGCAAACAGTCAGTACAGAGTAAAAATAATGTTATACAAAACCAAGGAAATAAAATGGATACATTTCTTATACATGGTTCGAAAACTTGTCAAGGTTAGAAATAGGTTCAGAGGTTCTATAATCGTGATGCATGCAGTAGAGGAGATCATCCATACGGCTACAGAATAGTCGGCCTCTGGAGCCATGACAGTCAGTCAGTCAGTAACAACGTAGAACTTCGTACGTACGTACATCAGTTCGAGTTGCCACACCACATTAGCACAGAGATGCACTTGTCGATTCAAATCCCGTCGTGGTAGAGGTAATAAGAGTATAAGCAGTAATCGGGAAGATTAGGGTTTGGAGATGTTATTTAAAGAGTATAATCCAGTGAAAGAAATTTGGAAAGAGGAAAAAAAAGGGACATGAAGAATTCAGAAGATTAGAATTTGGGAGAACACAGAGAGTGGATGCACCTGCGCCATTGCAAACGATTTTGAGCCATGTCATTCAGGGTCTCTAATACTCTCTAATACTCTTTCAACCTCAACCACATAGCTTCAATATTGTTTATGTGCACTCCGGTTGTTGAGTGCACAAAATACTACTTGTGGATAACGACATGATGCATGTAGCCAAGCCTATGTAAGAGTCTGTACGCTCTCCAAACATCCGTATAAATTGTAGTACCTGGCTGCAGCCAGTGTTACTGGTGCTTTTACCCAGATCACAATAATTGTCGCAATGCGCCTTAGTTAGGAATTATATATGGGGTTTTCATCACGAACTGACATCAGCTATCATGACAGAAATTTATTTAGCCTAATGGATGAAAGGCTTTCGCATTAAAATCCGAGATCTTATACCTGATTGATTCGTTCACAAATTATAGTCCCGCCGTTTTATTCGTTATAGCCGCTCAATTATCACGTTTTGTACAAAATTCGCTGTGAACCGATCGTACGTTGGCATCAAGCAATGAAGTTGGCGCCGTAATCTTGAAGTCTCTAAAACGCCTCTGATTGGCTCGTCCATAAATTAGAGTCTCGCCATATACTCTTGTGATATCCAAATGAGTTAAAAATTGTGTTTCTGATGTTACGTGACTTAATGTAAGTTATGTAACGTCAGAAACACAATTCTTAAGTCACTGAGATGTCATAAGAATATATTTGTTATGACTTTCTACCCAATTGAGCATTGGCTTGATTTGTTTGAAACGAATGAGGCCAGTTTATAAAGCCATTGACTGATGGTTTGATATGGAGGTTGTTGAATTTCATCGAGATCATGAATTGATTACTTTTAAACCACTATTGAGACCTGGAAGCACTGGACGGTCGTTCCATCCTATTATGGGACTCTTCGACAGTGCGCATCCACGGTCGCGCATGCGAAACTCAAACCCAGGGCCTTCGGTCTCGCGCGAATGCCTAACCCCTAGACCACTGAGCCGGCAACTAACGGTGTCAATATCACGCATCAATCGATCCACGATATTGCGCAACCATCTTCCATTATCTTCGGTGGGTAACTGCCTCACACCTGAAATGCATCGAGAGGTGAAGTCAAGCAAAATAACGGCAACCCCCAGCTGCTGAAAATGCTGGTTAACACGACTCATCAATAAAATCAAGCGGACAACAAGATTCATTTCTTAGCATAACCTTACTATTTATTACTTCATACCTGTCGTTTGTCGACTGCTGTTGTTAAGGTTATTGTTTCCGTTGTTTTACTTTTCCTCCGATAGGTTTTTTTCTTGCTGCGCTGAAGTAGTTTGTTGAAAGTCAAACTAGTAAAATTCTGTACCAACTATTAAATTTTAGGAGCATATAATTCATGATAATTTTTTACTAGGTATAACTTTGCGTGCATAGCTCTAAACAACAGTGTGGGCATATACTAGTGGTGACACTCAGATTTCTAAGACGAAATAGATCAAGTTGGTTTCGTACCTGGAGCTTCACAGTTGAAAGTTAACTTTTTTTTACCACTAATCACATCCTCGATTAACACAAGTAAAAAGAACTATTATCAATGATGATCTAATTCAGATAGCAATTGTTTGCTTTAACCATCAAGAGGAGAACATATATAGCTAATTATGGACTTGATAGTAAATCTTTACTACATCTGGACAACTGAATATAGGATATTGCACAAATACAAGATAATAGTCTATATAAGATCATAATCACCTGTTTTCAGGAAGCATACTTAAAAAATCTAAGTCCCAACGAAACCCATCACAAAACAACTTTTATCCTGAATGTTGTTTCTTTTTTTCAAGCCTATAATGAACAGTTGGTTCGTTACCTTAAATATTTTTTTTATACACTTATAACTTACAGTTATGTGCTTCAACAAAACAACATTAAGAGTTTAATACTCATTTTCAAAATGATACAGCGGAAAGTAAACTATAATCGCCTTGTTAAACGAAATCCAAAGAGGAAATTGTGAAGTCAGGTTGAAAAGTAGGAAAAAAAGAATGGATTATTAATAATGTTTCTTATCCACTTACTAATTTCCCATTGAAACTGGGCTGATCTATTAATTGTGGTTTTATATATGAAGGACTTCCTGTGTGGGATTTAAGGGTTCCAGTTTTTGTTCTCGGCATTAATGTTCCATTACGATTGCGCCAAATTGGATCCGAATTGAACTGACCAAGTCGTTTGGGTAGCATATCGGAAGCTACTCATTAACGAATAATAAAATTTAGGGGAAAAAGATTATACTTCCAAAGCTAATTTCAGGAGAAAAATGTTTGCTTATGATCGAGACGATGACTCTTAATAGAATCTTTAAAACTATTCAGTCAGTTAAAATTTGTACAGCGGTATGCGAATTTGTATAGTAGTTTTTTTTATCTGTATTTGTGATGCAATAACTTTACAGTGAAAATAAATTATACTTTTTAATGTAACACATAGTTACATCAATATAATTTGTATTCAGAAGTTAACTAACATTGAAGTAACGTAAAATAAAAGACTTGATAACTTTTGGAAATCAAAATGATCAAAATTGTAAGTGTGAGAAATGTTTACAAATATCACAAATTGAAATGAAGTAAATTTCCCTAATACTTATGGCAAAGTTATCACTTGTCAATTCTTTATTTATATTGACAATTTTGTAGATGAAAACAATATCTGAAATAAACAGGACAATCTAAGCATAACAGCACTCTTACAGCTATTAACTGGGTAATTTACCAACTAGAAATAGGTTAACATCTATGTAAGACTTTAAATTTACCTGAGAAACAATTGAATTTTCATGAATGGTGTCACAATATGAGTCAATCATATATCTACAACATTCTGCCTAATTTGTTGATTGTTTTTACTTTAGAGATTATCAGTCTTTTCCTGTTATATCACAAGTTACAATAAAGAGACAATGTGTCCATATAAATTACATGCTAGGTATTTCATGTAAGAATTTAAAAATAACAGGTTGCTTTTGATATTATACCTAAGTATTGAACTTCCAATCAACTAATATTTTCAGTATAGGGGTTGTGGAGATTATTAAGTTTTTGATTGAGATCATGAACCGATTGATGTAAGACCACCATTGAAAACCTGAAAGCCCTGGACGGCCATTTCGTCCTATTGTGGGACTCCTTAACAGTACGCATCAACGATTCTAAGGGTGGGAATCGAACCCAGGGCCTTCAGTCTCGCGCGCGAACGCTTGACCTACTGGACCACTGAGCCGAAATCGAAAGGTATTAATGTCTAACCTCAACCAATCCACGACATTGCTCGACCATCTTCCATTGTACTGAGGTAGATACCTGTTTTTACCCGACACGGATAAGCTCCACTGGTCACGGACTTCTCAATAGAACTCCGAGAATCCCCTCACGAAGCTAGTCACTAGAAAGCACATGGTAATTATCAGTATAGTGGTTGTGGAGAATATTAAGTTTTTTGATTGAGATCATGAACCGATTTTAATTGGTATTTTAATGTTAAATCATGTATGAATTGCCAGTTGATAATAGTAGTTAAAAATAAAAATGAATATGTACATTGTGTACAAATCTATTGGTTTATGTCACAAAGTGATATTAACTGAGGAAACAGAGAAAATGAATGTTTATTTTTCCATAGTAGTCATTTGTCGATTAACATGGTATGTATGTAGGTTGAACATTATTAATTGTATTTTTTGATAATACGAAAAACTTTTAGCAGCATCTAGAAAGGATACACGACTACAATTAACTGCCTCTGAGCAATAGTGGTAGTAAGCAATATCATATTGTTTAGTCCGCTGTCTAAACCAAATTTTATTAGTCACTTTTTCAACAAGATCAAAAATCTTAGTGACTTGACAACACAGTGGTTTTAGACGAGTGTAGAAGTTTGCTAGAAATTTCCCAACGCATATTTTTTTAGGATTATAGGAACCGTTAGTAAGAAGAATTACCAATTTGTGGAGAACTTTATCTCCTCCAATGATTTGAATTCACATCATCCAGCGAGAAGTTACCATCTAACCACTCAGAAATGTATGATTTAAAATTAAAATAAACTATCAACATCTAGGAATTTTTAGCATTAGCCGTATGTCACATCAAAATAAAAATATCGTTCACGCTCCCATTTGTTATCGTTCTGATAAACGCATGTCAAATAATTAAAAAACCTTTCAAATCAAAACTTTGGAAAATTATTTCCGCACTTCATCACAGCCATTAGATGATTTTCGTTAAATAATTAGAAAAAAAACGAACGATTAGCAGAAACTCTAGTAAAGACTGGAAGTTTACTTTATACATATTTGGGCCTGCTAAGAAATATTAATCTATTTACTTCTGGTTAAAGAAGAGTACAGAACTGTTAGCTTCCAGTGCGAAAACGAAAACGTGTAATTTATTACTAGACTGAGAAGAAATGCTAAAACAGAAATTGACATTCTAAGATGTTAGTGTTCTCGAGTTTAAACTAATATTAGTTCTGATTAAATGGCCTAAACAATTCCACTAAACAGTTAATTTTGTCGCTATACTGATAGTGATAAAAGTTACATCGGTAAGAGAAGATAGAAAATTAACATGATAATATATAAAGGAGAGGTAATAGTAGTATTTGTGATGGAAGCTGTATATGACAGTAGTTCATGAAGGATCTTTTGTGAAGAACTGAACGTCAACTCCTAAACACTGATGTCAATCATGTTGTCAGTCATTAAATTTGCGTGAGATATTTTCTTCACATTCAGATGGTACTTAGAAAAAAAACACTTAGAGAATTCAAAAATCAGTTTACTACTGATTTTTAAAAAAATTATAAACAAAAAAAGAAAATCATGTGCTTCAAGTAGAAAGAAATAATAGATTCTCATTTTATTACTGAATCTATTTAGTTCGAACGTATTGGTACAATACTTATGTGAGAAAGATGATCGATGTCTATGACTTTTCTTTATTAGCAGTGTGGCTATAAAATAACATATATTTGAGTTCAAAATCTTCCGATTTTGTTGAGAGCTCGGTACCAAACATGTATGAGAGTTGACAACTTTAATCAAACATAGTCTCACAGAAACAAACCAAATGCAAACAGAATAACTTACTCAGTGGCGGAGGCGTATCTAATTTATTCTTATGTAATAACTCTAAACAATCTTTTAGTGAATCAATTACATCATCATCATCGAATAAAAAGTCCTTGACCAGTTCATCTTGAAAAAATGATGTCATTTGCATCTGATCCATTCGTAATAATCTTTCTAGAATGAAAGTAAACAAATACACATCAGGACAAATAAAACGTGAACTTGTGTAACTCATTTGAAACCTTATTCTGCAACTAGTTTCGATTATCAGACTGTCTTAATCTCACACTTGTGTTATTTCTGATTGTTGTCAATCACTTACACTATCAATTGTAAGCCCATTCTATGTGCTTACTGAGTCATCCGTTAATCTTTTCTTTCCCAAACTCTCTGACACACTGATCCTTACAGCACACATAGTATCTTCACGTTAAACTCAAACCTACCAAAGACTAAATATTACACTTGATCAATATTGCTAAACTAAGAAACTTATTAAACGATTCGAACGAAATGAATTGATGAGTGGTTAGGAGTAACTGGAAAAAATATGAATCTGATTCCTACTACTATGGTGGCCTAGCTGATACTATAATCGGTTTTAAATCATCAGGTTATAGGTTCAAACCAGCTCCATCTGCTTAAGTGCTGAATCGTACCATTAGTTAGCATACAAAAAATTTCTCGCTGTAATTAGGGTACACAGCCATAAGCCAAGTAAATGTGTTAATTTATTACAAATGAAACAATAATCACCGGCTGTTTTATATTTTTAAAATAATTCTGGTTTGTTCCTTTCTTAACAGATAAGCAGTTTATAGTTCATATTACTTGGATTGAGTGTACACTGCAGACAACTAGTAGCTTTAATTTCCGAATCTATATTCACATAAGCTTTTAAAGTTGACGGGTGGATTTAAATTTATACATCCGAGATTTGGAGATGTCGTATGAACAAATGATTAGATTACTCACGTCAATCATTACCAATATTGTCCCAAATCAACTGTGCTGCCGTGAAATGACTATTAACCAATTATTTTTAATTTGATTAAGGCTGTAAGAAACGAAGGCGAATCAAAAAATTTGCATTCTTCCCCTTTTACTGCTCTTGGTCTGCAGCGATTTTAAACAAATGAAATGAGTTGTATGCAGAACTTAGGTGATTTTTAGTAGGTTTTTGAAGGACAATGCTGGTTTTCACTCATGTATTTCAATACTATATGAAAATATCACAGAACTACTACCATTACTGCTGCCAAGTAATAATATCAACAATGAAGACTAATACAATAACTTAAAAGTGAATCCTTACAAATCAGTCAAACAGTTGTTTAGATTCATTCTCTGATTACTTTATTAGGATTGATGATCCAGGGATTTATTCTTGATAAAAAATTGAGCGAAGTCAACAATATTTTCTTTTTACTGAATCAAAAAGAAGTATGAACCAAATATACAAAACACTTCATTAACAGGCGCTACTTCTTGACAAGCAAGAAGAAAATGAACATCGTTAAGTCTAGATTTAGCCATATTAACAAAAGTGAACACCATATTATTATGCTAATCAATATTCTCGTCAACTGAACATTTAAAAAAAGTTCAGAAATATGCGTATATAATCATTTGCACATTTTCAGTTTTCAACGACCCAATACGTATAAAATACGTTTTTTAATGAAGATAACTTTTAAGTTAGTATATTTGATATGTAACAATAACAATAAGCCTTTGGTTTCTTCAAACCAAATCACTTTCCATTGATATTTACGTGGTTCGAGGTCATCTACAGGAAACCTTTCACTGACATCCTGTAGAACTAGGGTTTATGCAACAGGTGGCTACTATTTGTTAGCTTCTCAGGAACTTCATTACCAAATACCTAAGACGCTACGAGACTGAGTGAAACAGATTGGAAAAATTATTTAATGCTCTAATATTACTAACGTTAGAAAGAGTTGATCTAGGAAACAGAAAACAAAGTAGAAATATGTGAAAATTATATTTGAAATATTCTCAGCGATTGAAATTTAACTAATTCCAACGTTTCGTCCAGACAAGTTAGCTGGACGAAACGTTGGAATTAGTTAAATTTCAATCGCTGAGAATATTTCAAATATAATTTTCACATATAATGACTTCTCTATACTCGGCGCTCAATTACTGTCAAACTATTCGTTCTAATCTTGACGAATATTCGTATAAAGTAGAAATAGTTTCACTAACAAAATAAAAAATAATTTACACGTAAAACTCGACCTTCATTAGTTTCAATAGTGTACACCTATCAACAGTTTCTAGGTTTTATTCGTAAATGCTCGCAGAATGAAAATAGTAACAGCATTCTACTGCTCCCTTATTTTCTATGATTGCCTAGCTGATGTGCCAGTTAGGGATGTAAGCCATGAAACATGTTAACATTACAAGTAATGTACTTAATTTGTCAAAAACACAAATGCGTATGATGTATTTCAGGTTGACTGATGCCTTATTTACAAATTTTATGAGAATTAGAGACTAAGGGTGGAAGAGATCTGGTTTGCATATATAATACCAAACGTGTAATTTCATTGACAGTACGCTTACAAGTCAAAGCGTGTGCCTTTGTTAGTGAATTACTCAGACAGTGACAGAATCACAACAAAAACCCTATACACACAAGTCAGTGAAAAGTAACCAAGATGACACATTTACCAACTGACATTTTACTAATTGAAAGGTTTTTTTATTAACTCAAGTGGAGAGGTGGATTAACTAGTAAGGAATTCAAATTTTTACCCGTAGGTGACAAGTCTGGAACATATATCACCTACTACAATTTGCACAACCAGATTGTGTCACTAATAGTCACACATAAATGTATTTTTACTATACTTCTCTATATGTTAAAACATGAGAGATGATACATAATAATTACAGAATACATTTCATATTACCACCAATCTATATAATGTCTTTCTAAACGTTAGTATAGTAGTCATATGATGCGTGGATATATATATATATATATACGTAATATGCTAATGAAGTCAACCAAAGTAGTTAAGACATATTTTCAAGTTTTTGATGTAATAACAAATAGAAGAAAGAATACTAAACAGTATTTATTCATAAAATAAAATAACAAAGTACTTTCTAATGCGGGTTTTAGGCTTAGTTACGACACAAAAATTCCGTATTGATTGAATACTCATTGAATAGTAATAATAACTAGTTAAAACAGATATTATGTTTAAACGAATTAGTCATATCAAAACGACAAACAATATACATATATGATCAAGTTGGTTTGTAGAAACTTGTTTAATTTTGTACTTTTCAGGATGCGTTGAAATCATTCATTGGAACAGTGAAAATCGTGGAACATTGAACAGATGGTTTGTTCTGATAACATGCCTCAAACAGGGACAAGAAAAACTGTTCAGTGTTTTCTAGTTCCCAGTAATTTACGAGTTACTATCTATGTATAATGGAAATGATCGAATTGAAGATCTTTCTGTAAATTACTAAATTAACTGAATAATAGACGCGCGTTCATTGGTCGGTATTACGTTTAGTATTCCAGAAATTTAACAAATTGACAACTAAGGTACTTTGTCATCAGCACTGTTATCTGCAATGCGACATTATAAAAGACAAATTGATCATCTTTGATCGATGATACTTGACCATTCACTGTTTGTTGTTTAAGTTATGTTGACTTCTAGGCAAGTAAGATAACTTCTTAATAAAAAATAGGATTACGTATCGTATTTCAATTATTTATGTTTAATACGGAAAGATTCAAGAAATATAAAACATCAAGGGGAGAATCAGAAACATCAACTAGAACTAATTAAATCTCGGCGACCGACTATTATTATGAAGAAAAAAGTCATTATTTGTGAATCACATTGTTAATAATCTTCTGTACAGCATACGTTTTAGTACTCTAGTCCATTGACCACACTGAATATACTAATTACGTAGGAATGAATAAGGTATATGATGATGATTTTGTAGAAGTATCTTCAAACTTTACCGAACTGATCGAGTAATAAATAGGCAATTTATCTGATCGAGAGTGTTAGCCACAGAAACCACGAACTGGGAATATGTTTCAGTCTTATCTATTTACAATTACGATTTTACTAACTGCTGAATCCTAAAGCACGCGATGATTTGTAAAACATAACAAATTACCCTATCATTTTATTTGGTGTACACTAACAATGTCATCAAGTGGTTTGTTTTTCTCAACAGTTTCTAATCTAATTTACCTAACGATTACATGTTTATAAACTTAACTTTGAGTGGTGAATTTTAGGAGATATTAACCAACTGGTCACACAAACTAAGGTGTAACACGGTTGAAACATAAAAATTAAACTTAAAAATGCTAAGCCAATGCTTCACTTCTTGACTAGGCTTAAATATCCATAACTGAATATATATAAACCTAGGATATAATACACCTTTAGAAAACATCTCTTATTACTGTATGGTGATCTAATGCAAAACATTTTTTCTTGAGATTTAACACCAATAAGTACGGAGAAAATTGATATCAAGTTTTGAGTGGTATTTGAGAGCACTTGAGGTATCAAAGTGTAGAATGTAGTATACATAGTATAATGTAGGTTGATATTTTATTTCTAGGTACATTCAAAATGGGGAAATCCGATTACTTTCGATCTAATTACGCAGCTGAAAAGTGGATTTGTACTATGAATTAACTCGCGTATATTATATTGTAATCCAAGAAAACGTTATATACTGGCCGATGGCTACTTTATCATACTATATGAACAGGAAAAGAATATTCACTGTATTCATTGTATTTTTGAGAACTAACTAGGTCAAAAGTTTATAAACAGAAGGAAAACCAAAACAAGAGTAAGACATTAGATCATAGAAGTGAAACAAAAGGATAAGAAAAGGGTCGTTACCAGGATTTAACGTTATAAGAAGTGGAGAATTTCTTGCTATCATGTGTACAAACTCTATCCAGAATATGACACCGATGGTATGGTATTGGAAATCACTGTTCGATACTCTGATACGATAGCAAATTATCTTAAATTGTTTCAGTTCAAAATAACTGTAGTAGAAGGGTAGGAGTCAATACAAAGTACTTTGATATGAGCTATTAATAATTAATCACTAGCCTCAATACAAAACAAGTAGCTCGA